CACAGACACTTCCTGGCAGACCACGAATTTCAGAAGAGTGTTAAATTTCGTGTTCAACCTCTGGATTGCACAAGCCAGCATAGAGTGAACAAATACGAGGTACAAAGTCAGCAGAAATACATATACAAGGACACCATCCGTTTTAGCTAAAGGTCTAAACTTTGCAGTCACACCTAAACACATACCAGTTAATGATATCATTGCCCAAGTAGACGTGGCTCTCAAGGGCCTGGGTCACATCGCTGCAGACGTAGCAAGATCTGAAATCGCTGCAACCCTCAAAAACGCTAAGATGCCAGCTAGCAACCTCAGCAAAGATGAGCGTTTTGAATTATATTAATTAAAAAAGACGGATGACATTGTAATCCTCTCAGCCGACAAGGGCAATGCTACTGTCATCATGGATAAAATAGAATATAACAACAAAATTAAAGAATTACTCGACGATGGCAGCTATACAAAAATAAAGAGATCCCACCAACAGCCTCGTCACACAAACCAACAAAATAATGTCTGATTCAACCGCATTCATTAATCAAACTAAACAGTTTTCGTTGAAACCTTCTGCTGCCAGGCCACCAAGATTATATGGCTTACCAAAAATACATAAAGTAGATACACCCCTTCGTCCCATCATCTCTACTATCAACTCCCCCACCTACAAACTGGCTCGTTTTATGTCTGAAATCCTGCGGCCTTTCACTGGAAAAACCACCTCTACGGTACAAAATTCTACTCACCTGGTATCGACAATCAAGGGTATTTCCCTGTCCCCAGACGACATGCTTGTCAGTTTTGATGTCGTTTCCTTATTCACCAAAGTTCCTGTACCTGACACCATCGCAATCATTGAAGACATGGTTCATCAAGGACTAAACACTGAGGTACCCCCCCTGGTGAGACACTGCTTAACCAATACATACTTCACTTGGAATGGAACTTTCTAGAAACAAACTGAGGGCACCCCAATGGGCTCCCCCCTATCTCCGGTTATAGCCAACACTTTCATGGAGAAATTTGAGACTAACGCCATCCAGACTGCCACTCTGCGCCCAACCTTATGGAAGAGGTACGTGGATGACACTTTTGTCATCTGGCCACATGGCTGGCCTGCTCTAGACCAATTCTTCGACCACATCAATTCCATACACCCAGCCATCCGATTTACCATGGAAATCGAAAAAAATGGCAAGCTACCTTTTTTGGATGTCCTAATAAAAAAGAGACCTGATGGTTCAATGAGCCACTCTGTCTACAGGAATGCTACCCATACGGATGCTTACCTGAAACCGGATTCCCACCACCATCGATCCCAGAAGAATTCCCTCATCAAGACTCTGCACCATAGAGCCCAATGCATATCCGACCAGGAACACATACCCAGTGAACTCAAGCACGTACACCAAGCTCGTTAGGCTAATGGTTACTCCGACTACACAATCCACAAATCTATCACTCCAACCATAAAGAAGGACCCTCTTGAGGAGCCTTTCAAAACAATCACTTTACCTTACATTCCGGGGATCACAAAAAAGATCTCCAAAATCTTGAATAAATACAAGATCCAGGTCCGTTTCAACACATTACATAAAATCCGTGATCTGGTTCCGTCTGTAAAAGATGTGATTCTGGACATACAGTACCCTGGCGTCTACAAACTAAGTTGCCTCTGTGGTAGTAGTTACATTGGAGAAACCAAACGACATGTCTCGGACCGCATTCGTGAACACAAAGCAGACCTTAAACACGGTAGGACCAACACCTCGGCCGTGGCAGATCACTGTTATAATTCAGTAGGCTCACATGACATTGACTTATCCAAGACAGAGGTCGTTTGCAAGCCATCTGGCTACCATGAGAGATTAGTTCATGAGGCTATCCACATATACAAACACAGAGACAAATTTCAACCGCGAAGATGGATTCTGGCATAGTAATCATTGTAAGGATTTGATAAACCATTTCGGGTCTTAATTGATTGTTCACGCTTACGGTGGCTTTCAGAAGATGGATTCTGACTTAGCAATCATTGTAAGGATTTGATAAACCATTTCGCGTCTTAATTGATTGTTCACGCTTACGGTGGCTTTCAGACAGCATACATTAATTTTTCGTCTCCCCCCTCCTCTTTTCTGAACATTGATGGACTCGTCCATCTAAACAAACTGTCAAATCGCTATCTGTGGTGCTAACGGTAAATAAATAAATACAAACCGCCACTTCTTCCAAATGTTCTTGCCGTTGGTTTTCATACCTGATGATGACTGTTTGTGTTGCAGTCGAAACGTCGTGATAATTTTATTGTTTTATATATATTTTATTATTTTATTGTTTTCCCTTCAACGTGACTTTACCGAAAGAACCAAGAATATAGATTAAGCAACATCAAATTTTCTGGAACTGAACGTATGAGATAATGTCAAGGCACCGCTGGATGATGGCCACCCCACCCCATCTCGGCCACAGGGGTTATTTGAGCTTAACTTCACCACACTGGTCACTGCGAGTTGTTAAAATGGGGGCAGCGGCGGGGGGGGGGGGGGGGTTGCCCAGAACCAGTTCAGATTCCACTCCGCACAGATGTTGTCCATGGCCGGGGAATCTAACCAAAGACGTTTATGTTCACAGCGCAGAGAGCAAACTATTGCGACACCTCTCCACCTGTTCTGTGCCCTGGCGTGCACCTTATCCGTTCCCAAGAAAGCCTCAAAAAGAGTCTTAAGGCCCATTTTAAGCGTTGAATATTTGTTTTGCTCGCCGGAGAGTGAGAGAACCTGAGTCACCAGAAAAAAACACAGAAAAAAACCCCACAGCTGAGAGATTAAGACTCCACAGCGGAGAGCTCGTGAACCAACTTGCCATACCGCCTTTTAATTTTTTGACAATGGGCCCACCATTTCCGACAATGCTCCCTTTTTTCTCCGAGCGAAAAGCGAGGAGGGTAGCTTCAGAGTTTGTGTGACTCGGCGCAACTTCTCGAAATCCAAGCCGCCAAGTAATCCAAAACTTGAGAGGAAGGTGGAAAGGTGGCAAGGTGGAAGTAAACATAAAAGGGGGGGGGGGGGGGGGGGGGAAAGTAAAAAAACACACGGACAATAAAACTTCCCTGCGCTAAAAATAAGTTGCCAGCGAGAGGACCCGCGGTTTCCTGCAGTCAGTCCCATTGCATCGGTCGACCGTACAGCCCGACACAACACGCGCGTAGCAACTTCGAGGGATGTGCACGTCAACAGAAGAGCGTTGTTAACGCCCGATCCACAACCGACCGCTGTGATAAACGAACAGTTTACAAGCGGTTGGGCAACAGCGGTTCCTAAGCCGTATAACTATATGACGTGCTCCACCCACAATTGCAACAATGTGAGACCTCAAATCTTAATTGTGACTTTCGGGCGCTCGCTTTTATGCAACATTCTAGCGAGCTGACTTATCGATCGTCCCACGGGTACACTGAACCTGGCCCTGGTCGAGTAAAGACTTTTCTTCCTCCACTTCCTCGGCGTCTCGAGTGGAGGTCGGCGAAAAATGTGAATTCCGAAAAATCCCCCTCCCTCCACCAAATACTGTAAACAGTAATCTCCAAAATAAACTACATACTGCAATAATAATTCGTCAAGCAAACTGCAAGATGAAGACCTCCTCACACCACGTTGGCAATGCGGGTTGCTGGAACATACTTCACCACGCCGGTCATTGCGTGCGATGAGAAACGCACTCTGATTACAGTCTTGGATGAGGACCCAAGACCAACTGAGATAATGCTCGTCACACCCAAAGGTGTTTAACCCTGGTCGGGAATGAAATTCAAGTTGCCGGGCTTATAGCGCAGTGCATGAACCACTGCACTACCGCTCCCCCCCCCCCCCCCCCCCCATAGACCATAATACATATACCATAATATATACCATACCATAATACACATACTGTAATACATATACCGTAATACGCATACCGTAATACACATACCATAATACATATACCGTACCATAATACACATACCGTAATACACATACCGTAATACATATACCGCACAACGTGCATTATTTGTAGCTGGCACCAGCCCATCCCGGCCCCTGTTGGCTGTACTATGCCTACGAAAAATCGAGTTGTCATAGTGACCAAAACCGCTGCTGCCACCACACTTCACCATCTGCCTGATCCCGCAGCTGCCGCACAATGGACACACGACCGGCACGGTCTGTGTGGTTCGACCATAATCACAGCGCGATTCTAATCCCGTACCTCCGATGTGGCGCAACTGGTTGTTCATGCACGGTGTGAAAGAAGTGCAACGTACGTACGTACGTACGCCCTGACAGTGTCGCACCATCTGATCCCAGGTCTCTCCCTTGAGCCCCAGAATTGTGGAGGCCGCTTCATTAGCTGCCTCGGCAACGGGCCCACCCCTATCCTGCACGCGTGTCCCGACCCAGCGCAAACGTTGCCGCCCAAGCACGTCTACAGCACTCGCCTAACCACGTTCCCTGCCGGATGGCTGCAGTGCTTATCTCCTTGTCTTGGCAACAGAATTCCGAGCAGCCGTCTGAGCTCAAATGCCAACAACGACCCACCCCAACAGGAGGCACATTGGGGGCCCATTGAAGGCCCCGAGCGGAAAACAAAATTTGGGAGCATCGCCGCCCCTCCCCCACCTTTTAATTTAAAAAATCCGAGTGAGATGAGAGGAAGCGATTTAGACAAGAGTTACAGGCAGGAGAGAGAGATGGAGTGCGATGAGAGCAAGCATGCACAAACTCGTTGTGCAATTAGGCGAGAGAACAGAGATACAGGTGGGACAGAAATGTAGCGGAACGAGAGACATGTGGACGGGGCGCAGACGTGGTGTGATGAGAGAAAGCGAGCTGCAGGCAAGAAAGCGAGATGAATATTCTTCTTAAGTTAACTCGGTATATTTGCATTCATTGGGATCGTGAATTGGCACGGATATACAGTGCATCCATTGTGTCCATGGATCCGGTTACTCCTCGAGCCGATCTCACCTGAAGACGAAAGTGTGCTGGTCTATGAAGGTCCCGTAGCGCAGGTCCTTCACGTTGCCCGAGTTGCCCACGACGGCACAGCGCAAGCAGCTCTTGGAGGATGGGCGCGGGAAGCCGGCGTTGGGCGGCAGCAGCGACAGCAAGGTGGTCACCAGGGCCTGCAGCTTCTCCGGGGTGTTGCGGTCCGACTGCATCGTCTGCCGAAGAAAGCCGAGCACCGGTCGGTCAGGGCCACGGAGTGCCGCTCACAGCGAGTCGTGCTGGCTCACACGGGCAGAGCCAGCGGCGTTGATCCGGGACGTGGCCGCTCCGCGCTTGGAGTCGGGGATGCCCGACTAGCGAATTGTTCCTGGCGGCTACTGGCTCGATTACAGACAGGATTCGCAAAGTTTTCCCGCTGCCCCCCCCCCCCCGTTATCCCCCCTGCCCCCCCCCCACCACTTTGGAGTTATACCGTACGATAATATTATAATCTATGCAACTACTGACTATAAAAAAACGCTCAATTTTTTTTTATTTTACCAACAGGTAAGGCCCATTGAGCTTTACAGTTCATTTTCAAAAGCGAACTGGCCACAAATTGTAGCTCAACGAAGTGGCTTATCGCATGGAAATTTACACCAGCAGCCAAATAGTCTAAAGAGTTAGCGCTGAGCCTATTGACGTGCGCGCACTATTGCGGGTTCTTGTGTTCTATCGTCGGCAGAATCAGCATTTACTTCACCACGTAAAAGGGGAAAAAGCAAAGCACGTGGATTCGAAAAAATGAGATGATTTGCGTCCTAAGTGTCGTGGGCGTCCCTCTCAGCGAGATCTGAAAATGTTTTGGGGGGGGTGGGGGGGAAGCACCGGACCCCCCCCCCCCCCCGTAACACCAACAGCGTCGGTGTGACACATCGTTGTGTTGTGACACATCGCTGTGACACATCGCTGTGACACATTGCACCCCGCCAGCGGTGCCACACGCGGTGACACTACGGAGCCTCAGCAACGGTGAAAACGTGGCGCAGTATTGCGGAACAGACGCTAATGGCAGACGTGGTCAACGTTCAAGGGTGTTGCCTGAACCAGGTCGGGTTATTCGAGACGACGGGCTAAACCGCGTGTGTGCTGGTAGAAGTGGGGGGGGGGGGGGGGAGAGGCCGGGTCTGCGAAATGCTGGGCAGGAAAGGTCAACATTGCTGAAATGAGTTGTGCGCTATTCCTCGAGCCACCACCCCCCGCCACGCTGTACTCGTTGTCTGCTAAGTTTGACGTTTCTCATCACTCGTCCCCGCTGGTGCTGTGCTCATGCAGCCCCGCGGATCTCCCGTGTAAAGTCGCCGAGCAACTGGCAAAATGGGATCATCTGTGCAGCGAATGAAATACTGTGCCGTGAACTGAATTGTCTGCCGATCTGCGTGTATACAAGGGAGGGGGGGGGGGGGATGTAATCGTGGTTTCCACTTACAAGTGACTGAAACCAAGATCAGTTACTTTTGAAAAGGATGCTAAATTATGTACTCATAACGTATTAGTGACAATTTCGGATCGGAGTAAAACCAATTGGACAAGAAGAACAAAAAAAGTCGACAATTGTAAAAATTATAAATGAAACTGAAATATTCTGCAGGTAAAGACAAAATATACGGACTTGCTCCTAAGATGCAAGAAGTCAAAAGTGAAAATACGAATGGATCGATTTATATGGCAACAAAGCATCCGTGTAAAGTGGTGGCACTGCGATTAGCGCGCTGCCATGCGGGACCGATGATCCGAATTCGAGTCTGGGCCATCAGGGACGGGTGATCTCCGAACGAGTACTCTGGTACTTTCCCGTCTCCAACCCACGCTGAGCGGCGTGGTCAAGTGTGCGTTCTTGTCATAAATAACAGTGGCGTCCGATCATACCTGTAATATATGGCAACATTTATGTTCAACGAAAGCCTTCCCTCGCAAAAGAAACAGCCTCAATTGTCCTCACGTCTGCCGAACGCACCTGTCCGTAATCCGATCACTGTTATAGTTTTGCTCGCGACGGTCGGTTGCCCGCGCGCGTGGCGTGCGCGTGTGCGTGTGCCCGTGACGCGCATGAATTGTGTTGCTAGCGCTGGGTGGGTAAATTGTCAAGGCAGGCAAGGACGAAGATGCCAAACCGCAAAAAGCGACCGCTGCAAGTCTGCACACAAAAAAACGTCGCCTGTGGACAGCCAGGGAGCGTGTGCTGAACGCCCTTTGGAGACGTCCGTTTGCTTTGTAAAAAAAAAAAAAACACAGTTTATGAAACCAAAAGAACTAATTTTTATTAATTAGAAACAGCCCATTTACTTTAACTGCGTATGCAGTTAAGTGTCTACGTGGTTTTGCAATGTGTCTTACATCATCGCATACGCCGTGGAACAGAGCTTACTACTCACGCAAAGCAGTGGGATGCTTTTACAGGAGCTTACGTGGTTGTACTATTGATAATAATACATCATTTAAAAAATAAAAAAACGTTAATTTCATGAGGACTGATATTTGCACTCGGTCATGCATGGTATTATGTGACAACCCTCTCCAAACTTTTGTGAATGTTTTCATTGTACAGTCATGAGAGCCTATTGTAAGGATGTTTATTATTACACGCTACACATAGCAGTGCGATACTTTATAATAGGACCTTACAATACTTTATAATAGGACCTTATATTACTTTATAATAGCACCTCCGATTAGCACGGTTGCCGACGATTGGCTATGTACGCTGCGAAAGAAGTTAAACATACATACCATATCTCATATTAAGTCGTAAAAAAAAAACATTTCATAACACACTGTATTATAATTATCATGCGGTTGGAATTTTACTCGTGATATAATATTTAAAAAAAGCTTAATCCCCTTAAAGAATGTCAGCCGCGCAATTGCATGAACCCCCATTACACACATCGTAAGTGGAGGGGACTTGTTATCCTCGAGAGCGTTGCACAAAGTGCATCTCGGACAGCCCGCGAGGCTGCGATGTAACGATAAGATTCGCAGCCCATCGAGATGCTTTCCACCTACCCCTGACAAAGCAAAAACCCGGCACAGTAAGAACTGGTCACCATGCAAATCACACATCTCCCCCCAGTCTGCATTTGCATCGTCTAACAGACGTCAAAAAATAAACATCTCACACAGGACCCTACCGTCGAACCTCCCCGGTTTCAACCTTCCACGCAGCCAATTGTCGACCATCAACCGAGCGAATCGGGACCGGGCCACGTGGCCGATGAGGCCACCCGATGCACAAACGACGCATCAAAGATTCGGCGGCCTACGAGTGCGGCCGCGAATCCCAAACCATCGACCCACGTCGCAAACACTCCGCTGCTGCTGCTGTCTTCACACCTTTAAAGGAGGAAAGGACAAGGTCCACTCTGCGTCTCAGCAGACAATTGCGTGGATTGCAAATGAAAAAAATGACACCTTTCATCTGCTGCTATGAATCCGTACGAAAAAAGACGACGGAGACGGGCGGACCTCCCGTGTGCTCAGCGAGCGAAAGCTGGGAGAGCAAGATGATTTAGTCGGTTACTTGACACAAAAGTAACGAGGCTTATTTTCTGGGGTCGATTATTCGCCTCCACCACCCCCCCCCCCCCCCCCACATTAAAAGTAGTGGTTGAATCTTGACTTGAGTAGTGGTTGCCCTCACACCCCTTCCCCTCGAAGGTGGGAAACCCCCAAAAAAGTGCCACCCCCAGTGTGACGCGGCTGATAATGTTGCGGAGCACCACCCATCACTGGCCATCAATAGGGCATATATGGTTATTTATGTTATACCATCATTATTGTAATAAATTATGATTATAATAAGTTACATCCCATTGTCAATCTTTTGCTGGATGTCAGCCTTTCGGGCTGTTTAACCATTCTTCACCACACTGATCGGTGTTCATCAAGGGGGGGTGGGGGCAACTGCTGAGGACCGATTGAGATATCATTCTGCACTGATGTTTGCCGTAGCCAGAAATCGAACCCATGCCACCAAGTTCAATAGTTTAATGCAATATCCAATGGGCCGCCGCTCCACCCCCCAAAGTATTATTATCCGCAAGCATTATAATAATAATAACACATTTCTAACGTGCAGGGACACATTTAAAAAAAATGTAACTTCAAAATGCAAGCGGCAATTCAAGGAGAAACAGAAGAATATATAAAACAAAATCGCCAGCTGTCCTCGGTTAGAATTTATCAAACGAACAAGGAACGACACGCGAGGGGCGAACGTCTGAAAGCTGAGACGCAAATCGGTTACCTTGAACCACTTGAGGGTGTCGTTGGAGAGGGTGGCCGTCTGGTTGGTGAGGAAGGGCGTCACAGTGTCGTTGTAGTGGCTCTTGAACCAGGCGCTGTTGTTGCGCTTAGGGATGGGCCTGCACGCGAGTGACATGCTGTAGGTGTCCCGCCGTATGTGGGGCCTCTCCGTCGTCACCGCCGCTAACTGCCTCCTCACCGCCTCGCTGACCGTCAGCGAGAAGTTCGTGTACAGCCGCTGCATGTGCTCCACGTTCCGCTGCAAGGAGCTCCACGCCTCCCGCTGCTGCTCCGCGTCCCTCTTCTCCTGGACGAGCCTCTCCGGGGACTCCGTCACCGCCGCCGCCACCGCCGCCGCCCGCTTGGCCGCTCTGCTCGCCTCCAGCAGCTCCCGCACGTCCTCCAGGATGGCCCTGACGATGCCCTCGTTGCGCGCGCTCGACCCGTTGGCGCTGCCGTGCAGGTCGCGCAAGGAGGTCCTCAGGAGGCCCAGCTCCTGCAGGAGGGCCCCGAACGCCGCCGCCGCCGTGTGGTTCTGAGCGCCCAGCACCGCGGCCACGATGCGCTCCTCGCTGCGCAGGCGGGCCGAGTCGGGCGCCGCGGTGGTGGCGCAGCGGCACAGCGGGCACACCTCGTGCCTCTCGGTGCGCAGGAACATGGCCATGATGCAGACGTACAGGACGACCGACACGCCGACATTTATCATCAGGAATTTGCAGGTCCTCATGCCCGGAGAGCAATGTACGCTCCCGAAGGGCGTGACTGCGTCTCGTGTCATCTCCGTCCGTGGATTATAATGGTCCTGAGAGGTGGGCGGACGTGGTGGTGGAGGAGGAGGGTCTGCGTACTTCTGTCATGGACCAACGGAATGATGTCTCCCCTCCTTACACCTACAACCCTGCAAGAGACGGGCGCGCAAGTGTGGGCGCAGTGAATCAACAGACGACGCTATTTGAATCTCACCCCCCCACCGCCAGCCGCCCCCTTTCGGTACCGTGCATGGTAACAAATCCTCTCGAGAGTCGTTTGTGCAAACTTGCCCTTATTGCTGTAGGGTAAAAAAACAACGGCTTTGTTGGTCTCTGTGCGTCTTACTAGGTCAATTGTATCCTTTTGACATTTGATCAAATGCACGTCGTTGTGCCTTCTTATAAAAAAACATACGAGACACACAAGAGGACTCCCCCCCCCCCGCCCACTCTTGTTAAGACACACAAAATATCAGTTTAGTGCGATTGGTTAACACCGGTTACATTCCACTGCCTTGAAAAAAAACCGCTCTCACGTCAGACACAAAATGCCAAGCTCCACCCTTGTTAAAGAGAAGAAATTCCATGCAAGTTTTTTTCTTCAACTTCACCACCAAAGCACCCATCACCCAACCCCACCTGCATCCATCCACGCACCAATCACCGTGGGTTTTGCCCACGCCCAAGTCCTATCGTGCCATCCAATGTCTTAATTTGGCTTCTCCTTCACCCATCTCTCATGCCAACGCCAAGTCGCACGTCGCCTCCACGCCCTGCCCAAATCCCAGAGGGGGGGTGGGGGAAGAGCTATACGTACGTACGATTGCAACGTAGATTTGATAGATTGTAATTATTTCAACAGCAAGGGCCTAATGAGCTCCTGCTCGTCTCTTATGTTAATGGGTTGTCCTGCGACGTTACAGACGTTGTACGGCACACATCATTGTGAACACAAGCCTGGCTTCACAAGTATTGTCGGGTACACGCTCCGCATGTTACAGCAATAGGGAGCTGGTCGAAAGACAAAGATCCCCCATATAGCCGTATAGGCCAAGTGCTGTTAGCGAGCACCTTTAAAGGCTGGAACGGCACACGAGGGGGTGGGTGGCTAGCACCACGCCCGGCCACCGTTGTCTTCCCAGCACCAGGTACCCATTTAATGCTGACCTAGTGGAGGCCCAGAACCGGTACAGATAATCGTCACTGGTGTTGGCCGTGAGCGGGAATCGAACTCGGCTCGCCGGATTCATAGCGCAGCGTGGCGCTAACCGCTACGCTGCGCTATGAATCCGGTGAGCCCCCACAATACCGCTGATCAAAAACGCACACTGACACACACTGACACACACGTACACAGAGACATGACAACATTATGTTTGACTAAAGAAGAAATAAAGGAACGCAAATAATATCATTGAACAGAGTGACGTGTGTGAGAGGGGGGGGGGAGGTTAACGTTTTGTTTTCAAGTGTCCACAGAAAAGGGGAATCGACTCAAATCCCTTGACGCTTTGAGTCCTAACAGATGGCTTCCTTCCTCTATTTCGGCCACATCTGACAACAGCTTGCAGCGTCAACGCCTGACCTTCGACGTTCGCTCCAAAGATTCCACTCCAGATTGCGAGGGGGGGGGGGGAAGGGGGGGTGCAATTTTAAATGAGGCTGCGAACGTCGGCTGCCGCCACGCACATCGGGATTAGCACTGTTGGCGATGTACGGTGCGAAAGAAGTTCAACGTACATGATAAAAGCAACAAAGAAAAGGCTCGTCGTTCTTAATGCCACCGCTAAACGTATGTTTTATTGTAATTGTCGTATTACTTTCCTCGCTTAAACACGCCTGCGATACAATTAAACTACAGCGCACGCGGTTTGCCCAGCACGTGATGTTTGTGGCCACGTGGGACGTCCACCTGGCCTGATGATTGTGAGTCTCCGTGAGTGGCGAGCAAGCCCCCTAAAGAAGGGCGTCAAGATCCCTCGCAACATTCTCTCCGGAGTCTTCGGTGCAACGTTCTGGACTCCGCAATACTGCCAGACAAACTGCAACGACTGTCAGAGTAGTTCCGTCCACCTTCGTGAACTTTCATTTGTCAATCACAACGTGTGGGGGGTCCACAGCAATGGCAGTGGAGTTCTAATCAAAAATTTAATTATTTAAATAATCGTATTCAGTCGCCGTGACCTGCAACTATTTCGTTTGTTTGGTTAATTGTCCTTACTCCACAATACCGCCAGACAAAGTTGTGGCGACTGTCGGCACACACACACACAGCAGACACGTGGTGCTGCACCCTAGGATCGTGGTCACGGCTTGCGCGCCTGTCTGTAATCCAGCCGCAGTGGGGGGGTGGGTGGGTGGGTGGGGGGTAACGTGAATTATTTATAAATGTGTGAAATTATATCATGCATGAGAATCATAGGCGAATGATCACGTGTGAATCTGGCGATATGACATAACCGCGATACAGTTTTAATCCGTGCGGTAACCATGTGAAAGATGTGTTTAAATTCATTGAGCGTAAACAATGTGGGTTTCCAAGAGTAACCAGCTAGTGCGAGCAAATTACGTCACGCATGCAGAGACTGTGTTGAAATTTACTTTTAGTCACTTGCGATTACGACCTAGTTAGGATACCTCGCAAAAATGTTATTTGTCAGAAGCGCGTTGGGTCAGGCAAGGGGACTTGGTCGAAACAAAATTCCACAACGGGTAGGAGGAGACCGGGGGGGGGTTGCTGTAGCAGCCAATCAAGATGTTGAGAGCCGCTGTTCGAGCCCACGACTCCGTAGGCGAGGCTGGTGGATCGCGTGGAGATCCATCTGCCTGTGAACTTGTCAGACGGATTATTGTTTTTTTGCGGGGGGGGGGGGGGGTAGGAAATAAGCCGAATGACGAAACTGAATCCACTGTTGCAAGGCAGCCGCCCCATCTGCCAGGCGCCGAAGTTTGTCCGCAGGAGGCAGTGCGGTGAGAAGGACGCTCCAATTCATCTTGCGGAGTTCTGGGGTGCTCCGTGCCTCGCACATGCCGCTTTCTCCCTTGCGTCAAACTTCCCCTGCGTATAACATGTTGCCTTGCCGGATATAGAAGTTGAGAGGTGCATGCATTGCAATTGCCTGCTTACGCCGCTGCCGGTAGAAGGGCCTTCACGAGGGGGCTCTCGAGACCCCTGTTGATTTCCCCTGCTCTTCCACGCTGGCCGGACGTCTTGGAAGACAAAGATCCCCCGTATAGCTTTGACAGACCGTAGGGACAAGTGCTGTTAGCGAGTAGCACCTATGAAGGCCGGCACGGCACAAGAGGGGGGTGGGTGGCCAACACCACGCCCGGCCGCCTTTGTCTCCCCAGTGGCGATGTTTACGCACCGCAACAAGTACTCATTTGAGGCCGAGTCGACCTAGGGGAGGCCCAGGACCGGTTCAGATATTCTGACGTGAAATGGAGTCTCCAGGTTCGTAGCGCAGCACGCTCACCACACAGCACTACCGCTCCTGGCTGTGTAAGAGTACACTCCAGGTATCACACCGCTGCTGCCCCTTCACAGTAACCACAACGTTCACCTTGCCACAGGTGCCTTGCACTCTTCGCACTTTGATTGAGCTTCTAAGCTCAATAACGAAACATCACAAGAGTGAGAATCACATTCCTACATTATCATGAACACACCCTTTTTTTAATCCGTACCAGTGGGAACCAGACTCCAAATATTGAAACTATGCCATTATGTCCCGAATTGCATTAAGACTGTATACCTCCTACACACAAGCACTAAATCTGTCACGTAAATATATAAAATCCAAACACTAAAGTTGGGCCCAGACTGGACACGGCTACACTTGCTCTCCCTAACGCTCTCGGTCAAACCTGATTGATAGTCATAAAAGGCTTCGCTATTTGTTTTTTTCTCTGGGTTGTATGTTGTTTCCTCTGAATCATGATGCCCGTTTCACTGTTGTGTGGTTAGCCCAATTTATGGGCTCAATGCTATGTGTGGGTGTTGGCATGCAGCAATTCACACCCCAGTGACGTATGTAGGTGTGTATGTACGTGTGTATGTACGTGTGTGTAGGTGTGTAGTGGGGAGCGATAGTGTAGCGGTTAGCGCGCTGCGCTATGAACCTGGCGACCCGGGTTCGATTCGCGCTCACGGCCAACACCAGTGACGATTATCAGAACCGGTCCCGGGCCTCCCCTAGGTCGACTCAGCCTCAAATGAGTACCTAGTGCGGTGTGTAAACATCGCCACTAGGGAGACAAAGGCGGTCGGGCGTGGTGCTGGCCACCCACCCCCTCGTGTGCCGTTCCGGCCTTCATAGGTGCTCGCTAACAGCACTTGCCCCTACAGTCTGTTACAGGCTATATGGGGGATCTTTGATCTTTGATGTAGGTATGTAAATTGAACTTCTTTCAATTATAGGTGCGTGGGAAGGACAACAAACTAAACACGAACAGCAGTTCTAAATAAAAAAAAGTGCAAAGCTCCAGGTGGCTTCCTAATATCGGAAGAGCGTTCCAGATGGACGCAGAAGCGCATCTGAAACCGCACGATGCAGTGACCGTCTTTGTTTGACAGTGAGCCAAAAGCTGGTTCGTGGATGACCAGAGTTCACGTGATGGTTCATGCTCTTTGGCGAGATCTGCAAGTGTGTCAGTGACATGTTTAAACACTGCACCAGGTACTCATTTGAGGCTGAGCCGACATAGAGGAGGCCCAGGATTGGTTCAAATATTCGCCACTGTTAGCGGTCATGAGCGGGAATCGAAGTCGGGTCTACCCAGGTTTGTAGCGCAGTGCACTAACCACGGCACTACCGCTCCCTGCTGTGTAACAGCACACGACAGGTCTCACACCCCTGTCGCTTCACAGCAACCACAATTTAGATTTACAGCTTTCGTGACTGCAGGGATTCATATGATTGGTTCTTTCAGTAAAGTCACGTAGAAGGGAAACAAAAAATATAAAACAATAAAATTCTCACGACGTTTCGACTGCAACACAAGCAATCATCATCAGGTGTGAAAACCACAGCAAAACGTTAGCACCACGGAGAGCGATTTGGCAGTTATTCAGATGGACGAGTCCATCTATGTTCGAAAAAGAGGAGGGGGGAGACGAAAATAATGGATGCGGTCTGAAAGCCACCGTAAGCGTGAACAATCAATTAAGACCCGAAATGGTTTATCAAATCCTTCCAATGATTGCTAAGCCAGAATCCATCTTCTCGTTTGAAATTGTCTCTGTGTTTGTATATGTGGATAGTCTCATGAACGAGTCTATCATGGTAGCCAGATGGCTTGCAAAGAACCTCTGTCTTGGAGAAGTCAATGTCATGTGAGCCTACTGAATTATAACAGTGATCTGCCACGGCCGAGGTGTTGGTCCTACCGTGTTTTAGGTCTGCTTTGTGTTCACGAATGCGGTCCGAGACATGTCGTTTGGTTTCTCCAATGTAACTACTACCACAGAGGCAACTTAGTTTGTAGACGCCAGGGTACTGTATGTCCGGAATCATATCTTTTACAGACGGAACCAGATCACGGATTTTATGTAATGTGTTGAATCGGATCTGGATCTTGTGTTTATTCAAGATTTTGGAGATATTTTTTTGTGATCCCCGCAATGTAGGGTAAAGTGATGGTTTTGAAAGGCTCCTCAAGAGGGTCCTTCTTCATGGTTGGAGTGATAGCTTTGCGGATTGTGTAGTCGGAGTAACCATTAGCCTTAAGAGCTTGGTGTACGTGCTTGAGGTCACTGGCTATGTGTTCCTGGTCGGATATGCATTGGGCTCTATGGTGCAGTCTTGATGAGGGAATTCTTCTGGGATGGATGGTGGTGGGAATCCG